TTGTTTATAGTATAAATAAAAATATGATGCCGAGATTTAAGTGCGCAGATTTAAGAACAAATGAGATTGTTTGCGCAAATATAGTCCCCGATATGCTTATAGGGATGAAGCATTTTTGGAGGTTCTTTAAAAGAATAAAGCCTTTATCCGATTATTTATTCAAAGTTGAAACAATTGTAGGACCAATAATTTGTGGTGAAATTAGCGGTGAAAAATTTAGAAAGTTAAATAAAAAAGAAAATTTATGCACTATATTAAGTTCCAACACTTTGGAAAACGAAGAGCTTAATAATTATTGGTCACTAGAAACAATAGGGGTCAAGGATGATCCTGTTAGTAAAGACGATAAAATCGCTTTAGATTTATTTAATAATTCGATTAAAAGAAAAGAAAATGGAAGCTATGTAGTGAAATGGCCATGGAAAATTGAGAGAGACAGTTTGCCATCTAATTTTTCATTAGCATATAAAAGATTTCTAAATCTCATGGATAAATTAAAGAAAAATCCAGATTTATTAGATAAATATGAGGAAATAATTAATAATGACTTGGAAAGGGGTGTGATTGAAAAGGCTGAAAGGAAGAAAGATGAAATAGAACATTTTCTGCCTCACCACCCAGTTAATAACACAAAAAAGGTGCGAATAGTTTATGATACCTCCGCAAAAATGCGAGAAGGAAAAAGTTTAAATGAATATTTATTGCGAGGGCCAATAATCATGCCAGATATAGCGGGCATATTGATTCGATTTAGAGTGCCAAAAATTGCCATGTGGGCGGATATTGAGAAGGCATTCCATACATTAGAATTAGAAAAAGATAGAGAAGTTACAAAATTTATATGGGTGAAAGATACGAAAAAGCCCATATCAACTCAGAATATTCAATATTTAAGATTTGTAAAAGTTCCCTTTGGGGTAATCTCGAGTCCATTTTTGCTATCAGCGACTGTCAGACATCACTTAGAGAAGTGTGATGATCCAGTTGCAAAAATTGCTAAAGAAAATTCCTATATGGATTATATATTTATTGGAATAGAATCAGCCAATGAAGCTTGGCTTGCATATAAACGATTAAAAGAGATATTTAAAGATGCACAAATGAATTTAAGAGAATTTATTAGTAATAATATAGAACTTAATGAAAAGTTTCCAATCGAAGATAGGCTCGAAGCAGAAAAGACATTTACTCGGAGCAGTAATGGCCTTATGTTTCCTTTCGACAGAGGAAAGGCCTTTGGGGCATCCCTTTGCGGGTATCAAGTATTCGTCATTAAGTTTTTGGCGGGAGGTACACATTCTTCATGTGTAGAAATATTGGTAAATGAAAGAAATTTAATTAACTATTATATGAAATGTTTCTGTGTGGCTGTGCCTGAAAAGTATAAAATACAGATGAAAGAAATTAGAGAAAAGGAAATCGAATTTCCAAGTTTTTAAAGAGAGATAATTTTGGATTGTAAAAAAGAGGAGGAAGGATCTCCTAATGAAAAGACAAAAGAAAGCCAGATAAAGCAATTTCAGGTCATTCGGACTACCTCACAGGACTTCCCCTCATCTCTAATTTCAACTACTGCTCCTACTCTAACAACAAAAAATCTACACCAAAGGCAATCATCAATTCAACAAAAACACAAAAGTCATCCGATAAAACTCAAATGCGGCATACAAATAGAAAGTATTATTCTCATCACACTTTCGGACATACTGCAAATAATTGTCCAATTAAAATCAATGACATCAGCTCCTCATCAAGTCATTGCCCATAACAGAATCTTTTATAAAATCAAGCGCTCTTCAATTATCATCACTTCACTTGCCAGTATGCCGCAACAACAATCAACTCTCTTCTTCAATGCAACCACTGAGAATATGGAGAGATGAGAGGATTTTCTGGCGGGAGTGTCGATGACGAAATTGAAGAATTAAAGATTTAAAGATTTTAAATATTTTTTATATTTTTGTGGAATTTTATTTATTTTTGTGCGGTGACTCAGTGAGTCACTTTTCCTTTTTTGACAATTTTTTATGTACTTTTTGCAATGTACTTTACATTGCATCATTTTTATCATAGAAATTTTTGCCTATAAAAAGTAGGCAGAAATTTCACTTTTCAATGTCTTTTTGAGATATTCATTTTTTATAATATTCTGTGTGAATATTTTTTATTTGAAGATAAAGATTTAGCTGTGTATTTGTGTTAATTTTATTTGTTTATTTATCTAGATTAATTATTTTGTGTGAATAATTAATTTGAGATATTTTCCCTATAAATTAAATAGGAAGGTAAAAAGAAAAATCCTCTCTGAGGAAAAGTATTTTTTACATAGATACAAGGTAAAATTTTTTGATATAATATATGATAATTAAAAATAATTGTCCATACTAAAGATAAAATAAATAAATACAAGCTTAAATTATTGTGATATAATATTTCATTATTGTGATATAATATTTCATAATTAAAAATAAATTTCTGAAAAATAAATAGATACAAGGTAAAATTTTTTGATATAATATATCATAATTAAAAATAATTGTCCATACTAAAGATAAAATAAATAAATACAAGCTAAAATTATTGTGATATAATATTTCATAATTAAAAATAAATTTCTGAAAAATAAATAGATACAAGGTAAAATTTTTTGATATAATATATCATAATTAAAAATAATTGTCCATACTAAAGATAAAATAAATAATCACAAGCTAAAATTATTGTGATATAATATTTCATAATTAAAAATAAATTTCTGAAAAATAAATAGATATAAGGTAAAATTTTTTGATATAATATATCATAATTAAAAATAATTGTCCATACTAAAGATAAAATAAATAAATACAAGCTAAAATTATTGTGATATAATATTTCATAATTAAAAATAAATTTCTGAAAAATAAATAGATACAAGGTAAAATTTTTTGATATAATATATCATAATTAAAAATAATTGTCCATACTAAAGATAAAATAAATAAATACAAGCTAAAATTATTGTGATATAATATTTCATAATTAAAAATAAATTTCTGAAAAATAAATAGATACAAGGTAAAATTTTTTGATATAATATATCATAATTAAAAATAATTGTCCATACTAAAGATAAAATAAATAAATACAAGCTAAAATTATTGTGATATAATATTTCATAATTAAAAATAAATTTCTGAAAAATAAATAGATATAAGGTAAAATTTTTTGATATAATATATCATAATTAAAAATAATTGTCCATACTAAAGATAAAATAAATAAATACAAGCTAAAATTATTGTGATATAATATTTCATAATTAAAAATAAATTTCTGAAAAATAAATAGATACAAGGTAAAATTTTTTGATATAATATATCATAATTAAAAATAATTGTCCATACTAAAGATAAAATAAATAAATACAAGCTAAAATTATTGTGATATAATATTTCATAATTAAAAATAAATTTCTGAAAAATAAATAGATACAAGGTAAAATTTTTTGATATAATATATCATAATTAAAAATAATTGTCCATACTAAAGATAAAATAAATAAATACAAGCTAAAATTATTGTGATATAATATTTCATAATTAAAAATAAATTTCTGAAAAATAAATAGATACAAGGTAAAATTTTTTGATATAATATATCATAATTAAAAATAATTGTCCATACTAAAGATAAAATAAATAAATACAAGCTAAAATTATTGTGATATAATATTTCATAATTAAAAATAAATTTCTGAAAAATAAATAGATACAAGGTAAAATTTTTTGATATAATATATCATAATTAAAAATAATTGTCCATACTAAAGATAAAATAAATAAATACAAGCTAAAATTATTGTGATATAATATTTCATAATTAAAAATAAATTTCTGAAAAATAAATAGATACAAGGTAAAATTTTTTGATATAATATATCATAATTAAAAATAATTGTCCATACTAAAGATAAAATAAATAAATACAAGCTAAAATTATTGTGATATAATATTTCATAATTAAAAATAAATTTCTGAAAAATAAATAGATACAAGGTAAAATTTTTTGATATAATATATCATAATTGATATAATATATCAAAAATTGATATAATATATCAAATTTGATATAATATATCATTATTTGAGAGAGGGACTTTATTTCAGCATTTACGGTATACTGAATGATTACAGTAAAAATTTTTATTAAAATTTTTTAACAAAGTTCCGGTTCCAAGCCAGAACCGGAACATTAAATCCGGTTCAGGTTCCGGATCAGGTCAAAATTTCGATTCCGGCCAAATTTGCGGTTCCGGCGAAACACTAGCCTATACAAAAATACAGCCAAACTTTCTTTACAATTTTTTTTCTGAATAAAAATATAGCACACAAAGATTTTTAGACTATATAATTTATAAATTTTTTTAGTATATTTTTTTTTTATTTTTCTCAACTAATTTTTATCATTTTTCTCCTCTTTTTTAATCTCTTCTTCATTCCTCAATAGAAGAGGTTCTTTATTTAAAATCTTCTTTTCTGATGTCCCTCCTCCTCCTCCTCCTCCTTTTTTCCAACAATTATTAAAATTTTCATCACTTTCAAACACTGAACTTGAAGCTGAAGAATGAGGGCGACTTGAAGGGTGTTGTTGTTGTTTTACTTTAAAAATAAATTTTTAATTTAAAAAAATTTTTGGCTCTATTTTAGGACATGAGCCCCATGAACTTTTATACGTCCCAAAAATAGTATAGGCGTCCCTTCAAAGATATCTGTCCCAAAAATTGGCCCAAACGTGTTTAACTGGTAGGGAGACACATATCGTGACAGACACGGATATAACGAAAATGCTGTGACCAAAAATAATTCCTCGTTTGTTTACTTTGGTTATGAGTCAAAAAACTTTTCTTCAGTAGGGCAATGAACTATCCAAGACCCAGTGGCCGTAAGTCAAAAAACCAATAGGGCAACTGTTCGTATATTGAAGTATCCCGATACCCAAAATTCGGTTCTAATTGTAAGGAGCGAATTGAGCAACGAATTCTACCCTGAAAAAGACTAGAACGGCACGGTTCGACCAATGACTCGAAAAAATGAGGCCCGAAAAATGACTTGATAATAGAATCGATTCGAAAACCCTAAGCCTACTTATTATGTTTCCTTGCTTATATGCGTCCCATCATTTTATATTGATGGGACGCCTTTAAATTTTGAGACGTAAAAAAAACTCATGGCAAGTATGCCTTAAAGAAGAGCCAAAAATTTTAAAAATCAACCATCATCATCATCAAAACAATTATCATCAGTCATTGTAGCTGCATTTTGTTGTTGTTGATTATTTGTTTGAATTAAAGTTTCAAAATTATTTAGCGAATCTGGTGTTGCCAACTAGAAAATTTAAAAAAATTAAAAAGAAAATAGATGACAGGGATGGGATGAGAAAAAAATCAGGTCGGATTCCGAATCGGATTTCCAAAGTTTTCCTCGGATCGGGCTTTGGATTTAGTGTCGAAAATGGTCTGGACCTTGAGTAACTCCCCCTATGGACAATAAAGGAAAAGTTTGGACTAGAGAAATTGAAAATTTTTGGTTAAGTGGATAAGAGTTGATTTCAGTTTTTTATTCAACTTCAGGTAGTGGGTTCGAACCTTTTCATGGTTAAATTTAACATAGACTTAAAATTTATTTGTTACAAGTGAACTTATTGTTAAAAATCCCAAAAAGAATTTTCTATTTCAATTAAAATCCCCAACACTCTTCCTCCTCCACTCACTAAAATACTAGTGTTTTTAAGAGGCCAAGGGTTCGAACCTTTTCATACGCAACTTAACTATATAAAAAAAGCCCATAACCATTCTACAAGGGAATTTTTTTAAATTCGAAAAAATTTTCAAACCCCAACCCTCTAAAAAATTTCCACTTAAAACCCACCTCTTCCCCCCCCCCTCCCCATTCCTTTATACCTTAATATCCACAGAATGTCCATTAACAATTTGTTCTAACCCAAATGCCAAACAACGATCAACTGCTGATTGGGTTTCAAATGAAAGAAAACCATAACCACGAGGAAAGGCTACCTTTAAAGAAAGAAAATTTCAAAAAAAAATTTCAAAAAATTTTTAAAAAACCATTTCTAATTGTTCAACAGGTCCAAACTGTTCAAAATGTGCTCTCATTGTATCAAGCGTATGCCATTCCCAATTTAATCCAGAAAGTTGAAGACGGCAATTTGGGGCTAGTTCGAGGGACTAAAATTAAGACGATGCAGTTCAATCTCGACCGTATAACTCATGAAGGGATTGTTATTTATTAATGTTCTTGGTACCATTGGATAGAGAATTAAATGCTCTATAAGATAACAAAAAACCAAAATTCTCGATTGATTTATACAAAAGTTATAATTTAAAACCCCAACTTTTTTCAAAAAAATGCGAATTTCGGCACTTTATCAATCATAACTTTTTCTAACAGCATTCGATAATTTTGATTTTTTGGTAGCTTGTAGAGCATTTTATTCTCTATCCAGAGCATTTTATTCTCTATCATTATTCTCTAAACCCACTACCTGAAGTTGAATAAAAAACTGAAATCAACTCTTATCTCTATCCATGGTACCAAGAATAGCAAGAGGTGGCCACCCCTTCCTGTGTTATAAATGACGGGACTGAACTGATGAAGTATATCAAAGTTAAGAAAAAAATTTGGCACCAGTTTAGGACAGCGTCCCATGAACTTTTATGCGTCCCAAAAATAGTATGAGTCACATCAGAGTATATGCGTCCAAAAATGGCTCTAATCCTTCTATATTCTTCCAGCGGTTCTCAAAACATTTCAGCCCCGAAGGCGAAATTTTGAGAATTAAAAGGGCCAAGGACCTAGTTTTCTTCAATTTTTGGGACTCCATACTTTGATGGGACGCATACAAGCTCGATTGTACGCTTAAAAGCTCCTGGGACGCATGACCTAAACTAGAGCCAAAAATTTTTGCGAAATTCCAAAATGTCAGAAAATTAGTGTCAAAAATATCAGAATTTAAATTTCCCCCAAAAAATAAATATTTATACCAAAAATTCTGGAAGCGCTTCAGTTTTTACAATTGGATTCATCTTTTCTCTTTAAGTAAAAAAATATTAAAATTAAAAAAAAATTTCAAAAAAAAACTTTGGAACAGCTCTTTTTGCATCTACATTTTTTCCATTAATTCTGTGGGGAAGAGCTGCTATACAAGCATCTGCCTACAAAAATTTTTTTAGGTAAAACTGGGGTAGGTGGGGGATCGTGGGTTCGAATGCGCATGGGAACATTTAATTTTTTTTCAATATAAAAAAATTTTTTTCGAAGAGTCTTCACCTCACAGAAAAAAAATTCTTTTGATTTTTAGATTTTTTTTCAGTTTTATATGAAATCAATGCCCTTATGGTTTAAGTGAATAAAAAAAATTTTTTTGAAAACCTTAAGAGTAGAGCCATTAAAATTCACTCTCTACAAAACCGAAGGGCGTAGCCAAGGGCATGGGGTGCTTCTTTTTTTATGTGCTTCTTTCTCTTCCCCTCCAATAATGCAACCCCTCCAAATGGAGGAAAATGAAAAAATTGGGAGGGAAGTGTTACCAAAAAAGCCCTTTTTTTCACATACATGTAAAACCATAATTTTTGCCCACCCTAGTTCCGTAAAATCGACCCTCGGCTATACTATTGACAAACCCTCGGTAAGTAACATGAGCCTAGTTAATCCGATTCCCTAAATCGGGAATCTATGTCCGGCTATATTCCTGAGATAATAGTCCCTAAAAAATTGTGAATCCCCTACCAGTCCCCTGAAAAAATGAAAAAAATTTCAAAAAAAAACCATTTCAGCAGTTGTATACGTAACAAATCCAAATCCTCTAGAACTTCGAGTTGTTGGATCTCGAATAACTATACAATCGACAACTTGTCCCCATTGAGAATAATATTGTTTTAAAGTGTTGTCGTCTATTTGGCCTAGTCCTCCAATAAATAATTTCTGAAAAATACAAAAAAATTTTTTTTCGAATTTTAAGTTAGAAGAATAGGGGAGTGTGACTCTTTTAGGTAAACAAGGCTACTTCTAGAAGGCACCTTCCAAAAAAATAAAATTTTCTCATTAGCCCTTTCCCAACCCTCCTCTCAACCTTCCATCTACTCCTCCTAATTTTCCAAAGATTTCATAGGTACTACTAGGGTTTTGTTGGCGACCGCTTAATTTTTGCCTATAGAGGCTCAATGCGCCCGAATTTGATTTCACATTCAATTACATTCTAGCCACCGCTATAGGCAAAAATTAACCGGTAACCCACAATAAATGCGACCTTTCAGAGCAAGGATGGAGCAGGTTTCGAAAATTTTCTTCGGATTTGGTTTCGGGTCGAAAAGAAGTTCTGGTTCCGGCTAATCCGACACCTCCCTGGTTCAGACACCCTCAAATGAATTCGAAACAAGTCCCAGCAAATCTGCCGTAAATGTTCTAATGAATGCCAGTCCTTTATTTTTAAATGGTCCTTAAAGGGTGTGGGCTTCTAATAGGGCATGAGCTTCTATTAGGACACTTAGAGTATAAAAAATTAATTTTAAAAAATTTTTTGCTTGAGAAAGAACAGCATAAACCAAATAATCGTTCGGAAAAAAGTCCGAAAAAATAAATCCGCAAAATTTTTGCGGATTCCCCCACCCCAGCCTTCCAACAAAAAATTTCAAAAAAAAATATACTCGACTGCTAAGTGGCTGCATTTGTGATCCTTGTTGTCCTTGTGAAACCATTTGTTGATGAAAATCGTTTTGTTCTTGTTGGGGAAATAAAGAAGGGAAAGAATGGGCTGAGGAAGGCCTTTGTTGTTGTTGTTGTAAATCTGGAAAATTGTTGGTATCTAGTAGTTGCTGTGGTGGTGGATTGTGGGAATTTCGACGAATATCCAAACGACTGAAAAAAAAGAAAAATTTTTAAAAAAATTTAAAGAAAATCCGCAAAATTTGTCCGCAAAAAATTGTTCGCAAAAAAATGCGGACAATTTTTTGCGGACAAATTTTTGCGGACAAAATATTTGCGGAAAATCAATTACAAAACGACTTAACACAAAAAAGTCCGCAAATAAAGAAAATCCGCAAAAAATTTGCGGACAATTTTTGCGGACAAAATTTTTTTTGCGGATTTTTAAAATTAATTTTAGATGTTTTCCCATCAATATTTCATAAGTATAAAGGTTATGAAAATTGATCGATGTGGAATATTAAAAATAATAATAAAATGCTATGAAAAGGGGTGAATCATCCAAAGTTAATTTAATCTTTTGAAATATAAATTTCGAAAAATAATTTTTTAAAAGACTATTATTTCGACAGTGAAATGGGTATTTAATCCTAAAAAGCAATCCCGTGGGTCAGGCAAAGGAAAAAATTTGGGAGAGGATTAAGCGAAAAAGTCAATTTTTTTCGGTTAATGGGCCACCCCAGAAAGTCAAGCAAGATCCAGAAGGTCAAGTCCCTATTGGCCAAATTAACCAAGAGGTAAAATCCAAATATTTGTGCGGATAAAAGGGACTTCTTCATCTCTCAAATATTTGGATTTGACTCGCTGGATAATTAAAACAATAGGGACTTAACCTTCAAGCTCATTCGACCTTCTGGGATGATCTCTCGGCTACAACCCCCAAGATTCTCAAAATTCGACTTTGCACCCCCTCCCCAGTACTTTTCGTGGCTACGGACCTGCCTATGGACTTAAACTTTAAATTTCAAAAAATCCAATAACTGACATTCGAATGTCAATTTATGACCAAAAATTTTGTCAGACTGGATGGGATAGAATGTCATCTAGCCTATTCTTAAAACTTTCGACACTCAAATGTCTAAATTGACCCCAAAAATTGCCAGAAAAAATTAATTAGGACCAAATGTCACCTTATTTTTAATTTTAAAATTATTTTGAAAAAAAACCTTTCTTGCAAATAAGGGCCATAAGCAGCTGGTCCATTAACCGCTAAAGATGATGTTCTTTGTTTTGTATTAGCAATTGCTTCATTTAACCAATTTGGATTTAACATTTTTCTGATTTAAAAAATCCCTGAAAAAGATTTTTGGCAGAAAAAAAATTTGAAAAAATTTTAGAAAGTAAATTTGTGAAAATAACAATAAAAAAAATTATGAAAAATTAATTTATAAGGTATTTTTATTCAACAAGAAAAAAAAACGATGAGAATTTTATAAGGAAAAAAAAATTTTTTAAGGTTATCAGAAATTTTTTTTAGAGTTTGGACTGTCTTTTGGAATTACTCTTTTTACGCCCCTTTTTTCGGTAATTGTGTCGTTTCCAGGGCTCCTTCTGTCCTACCCAAGTTGGATGGAAGAAAGGAAAAAGTCTGAACATTCTCTATAAAAAAAAATTTGCGGAGAAAATCCAACCCTTCTAGTTCACGCCCGACCCATCCTTGATATAACTCAAGAATTGTGGCCCAATTTTTTTGTCTATAACCCCCAAAATTGTTAAAATTCTCCATTGTTCCTCACCCTCACAAACACTTTTCCTAGCTATGGGCTGTCAATGAATATAATTTATAAATTCCCTCTTCCCAAAATTAAAAATTTTTGCCTTGTAAAAATCTCATAAAAATACAAGTCTAAATATGCTTCTAAAGAAAATAAATTTCTATCTATAAATTAAATACCAATACAAAAACAAACAAAAAATTAAATTAAAATATCAAACAAACCTCTCCTCTTCCTTTTAAATTTCTTCAAATTCAAACCTCTCCCTCTAATCCTCAACATTAGGCTTTTCATCAACAACATTAAAATTTTCCCCTCTAACATGTGCCAAATAAACCTCATCCTCGTCATAATCTTCAGTTTTCTCCTCCCTCTCAGTCTTTTCTTCCTTCCTTTCCTTCCTTTCCGTGGTCCGTTCTTCTTGTAATTTACCCAATTTTGTAGCTAATGAACTGCTAAATTGGTCACGATAAAGTTTGGAAAGTGAATCGAGAAGTGAATAAATTGTCTCATAATAATTGATATGCATTTCCAGCTTGAGAAAAAAATTTAAAAAAATGGGGTTAATTTTGTTGGATTTTTAAGAAAATTTGGGTAAACGCTCCCCCCTCCCCCCCCTAGAGTTGTAGAAATAGAAAATTGAGGAAAACCAGAGAATGGGGAGTTTGTTCCAAGTTCCGAATATCCAACATAATTCAGTGTCTTGGTATTACGACGACCCTCACTTTTTTCCTTCCAATTTCCCTAATAAATTTTAGAGCCGTTCCAAAAATGCCAAAGTTTACGATCAATACCAAATGCCAAAACGATCAATATCCACAAAAGCCGTAAAAATGAAAAAATACTGGAATTTCGGCAGTTTTCGAGGGTTTGGTATTTCGGCGTTTGGTATTACTCCGCGCTATGGGACGAAAAAAGAAAATTGAAGGGGACAAAGTCTACCTTTTTTGTCCACCTTTTTCGAGGTAAAAAGGCAGGGAAACGTAAAAAGGGAACTCCACAACAGAAACAGCAAAGAAAAATTTTTTGTGCCCGACCCCAAGCCAGAATCCCGCCCTAACTAAAGAGAATTTTTGGCTAAAAAACATTTAAAAGCTAAAAAAAACCTTTCGAAAATCTCCATACATACAATCAAGTCTATCCGAACAAATTCTCCATCCTTTTTGTGTTAACTCAATGCAGTAGGATTCATCTAGAAAATTAAAAATAAGGCAAAATCGTCTCAAAATTTCCCCAAAAAGGATTTTTGGGGAAATTTTTTGTATAATAGGAAAGAATTTTGAATTTTATGGTAAAATAAACGGATCTCCTCGATTACTGTGAACCCAATGGACATTAGATTTTGATTAGTAACAGGAATGCTATGGGCCGAAAAACTCGGGTCAAGCTTAAAGTTGGGTTTTCGAGAATTTTCTGTGAGCGTATTGGCTTTCGGGTAACCTCAGTTCCATCCAGGCCTCCGAAATGGGGAAAAGGGAAAATTTTGGGGAAGGGTTTGGGCAAAAAAAAAGTGAATTTTTGGCCTACGGTTTTCTAAAATTCTCAAAATTTTCGCCTGCGGCGCAAAAATCCCCCCCCCCCCGGCCCCCACCCGAAAAAATCCTGGCTACGGGCCTGGTTCCATCCCTGGTTACTTACAATTAATGGTACTTTATGGATATGTCACCCCCCTCCTATTTTGAGTCTCAGAGTTTTCCTTAAACGTAGAAAATGGTCAGAGATTATTTTCTTCTCCATGTCAATCATTTTTCTTTCTTCAAGCAAAATAAGTGAAATGTGGAAAATGTAGAAACGAAATGAGTGAAAAGTACAAAATATGTGAAAAGGCAAAATAAACAAGCAAAATACTTAAAGAAAAAAAAATGATTGACATGGAGAAGAAAATAATTCCTGACCATTTTCTACGTTTAAGGAAAACTCTGAGACTCAAAATAGGAGGGGGGGGGGTGACATATCCATAAAGTACCCAATTAATCTTAGCGAAAATGGACGTTATTTTGTTTAGACGGTATTTTGCCCTCCCCAAATAAATCAGCCAAAAATTTCCCCCAAAAATTAAAAAAAAATAAACAAACTTTCCAACGTCACCAAATTGAGAAACAACAGTTCAGGAGTACGTGTCAAAATTTCCGAAACGCTAATCGATTTGACAAACGTGGCAACTTCCCCAACGGCCGCAAATGCTTCCACTTCCAATTGGCTAAGTTGAGTACACGTTTCACAAGAAATGGAAGGTGTTGGAGATGAGGGACTGAAAAAAATATTTTTTGAGATTAAAAAAGGAGGGTAATGTCCGCTAGTTTACTGGTCCCCAGACTAACAGTTTCACCAAAAAAATTGTCCGCAGAAATTGTCTGCAAAAAAATTGTCCGCAAAATTTTGTCCGCAAAAAAATTTGTCCGCAAAATTTGTCCGCAAAAAAATTGTCCGCAAAATTTTGTCTGCAAAAAATTGTCCGCAAAATTTTTGCGGATTTTTATTTTTTAGGGTATAAATTCAAAATCGAGATTCTAGGGGTTATTCTAGTAAGTGAGGTAAAGGTTGGTCGAATTCGAGATTCGAAGAGAATAAATTTTAAGCTAATATTCGAACACATAGTAAAGCAGCTGGGCTATAGCTATTTCTCTCCTTTAGCTAGTGCAAAAGGTTATTCGGCGGCTGGGAGCGAACCAGCATCTTCAGTAGACCGGACTGATGTGTTAGCCATTACACCACGCCGCCTACTGCTCAGCCTTAGGAATTAAATAGCTATATGCTTTACAACATATAAGCACCAGAGATCGGCCTAAAGCTAGATCCAAGCTTTGATTTTTCATGATTTTAAAAGCAAGATCAAGGCATTTTCATTATTCCTGGATTTTTCCTTGACCTTGGGGTTTCCTTGGCCTTTTCCTCGACTCAAGGTCAAGAATCTGGTCATGAACCTCAGCCAAAATTAAGACTCGATTACAGGAGACGCCCAAAACGGCGCGCGGCCAAGTAGGCGCAAAGCCATAACTTGCTTCAAAATTTTCTAATCCTGCCAAATTCAGTATCAAACGATTTCTCTCATCGAGCTAAAGAGATTGGTACTAAAATTGACAAGGGCCAGACATTATCCTCCAAGTTAAGGCTTTGCGGCGTTACTCCGCGCGCCGTTAAGGGCTGTACCCTCGAATTGCCGGAACCCTCAAAACTATCGAGAGCACTCCCCCTCATTTTCCCGTGGACCAGTAGACTAGAAGACTACCCAAAAAAGCTTTAAAAACTACCCAGACATTGTAGAGATTGAAGAAGGCGGACTTTTGTTGTCTAAATGAGGCCTATCGTTGTCGCATTTATTGCCCATATCCATAAAATTAAATTTTTTTGAACAGAAAAATAACTAGAAAAATAACTAGCTGATAAATTGATAAGAAAGATTAAAGATTAGAAAGATAAAGGAACCCAATTTAATCAAAAACGACCTCTCTAATGCTACGTCTACATAAAAAACGCTAGCGTTTTGCGGAAAACGCTGGCGGAAAACGCTAAAAAGTGTCTACATAAAAACAGCGTTTTCTGCCTAGCGGAAAAACGCATTGCGGAAAACGCTGTTTTTATGTAGACACACATCAGCGTTTTCCGCCGGCGTTTTTTCCGCCAGCGTTTTCCGCAAAACGCTAGCGTTTTTTATGTAGACACTCGACTTTTTTGATATAAATATTAAAATGAAATTTTTATCAAAAATTTTTATCAAACAATTACTAAATTTAAACCATTTTTTCTTGCCATGCAACTGATCCAATATCACTATTAAAATAATTCATTAAATTTTCTCTCATCATCTTTGCTTCAACGGGCCAATTTCTTGCATGATTTTGAATTTGTTGAGTTGATGGAAGGGGTTCTGAACCAGATAATAAGTTGCGCCATTCACCATTTTCTAAATCTCGATAAACTTCTGTTTCATGATCAACCATCGAAAGTATTTTATTTGTTGTTGATTCATCAATTAAAAAATTATGTAATACAATAATAGCACGAATAATCCAGTTTGCCGATTCAATGTTTGTTTCAATGGGTTTTAAAAGAATTCGCCATTTTACACACATTATTCCAAAAACATTCTCAATAACCCTTCTAGCTCTTGAAATCCTATTTAAAATTTAAATAATTTAATTTTACAAAATAAACCTGTAATTGTAAATCCGTTGCTGATGTGAAAGTGCATTGCCAGCAAAAGGTTTCATAATGTTCAAAGAAAGTGGAAAAGCCGCATCAGCAACAATGAAATAATTTATTTTGTCAGAATCAGGCAAGCCTGGTAAATGGGTTGGTTCAGGAATATTCAACAAATTATCATTCAATTTTGCTTTCAATGAAGACGAAGAAAAAACATTGGCATCACCTTTATATCCATACTCACCAACGTCAACATAGAGAATTCGATAACTAAATATCAATTGTAAAAATATTATAAATTTAAAAAAAAACCGATAATCACACAGAGCAAGCATATTTAAAGAAAAATTATGCTTATAATCATGATACAAGCTTCCAGAATTATTGGGTTTACGAACTCTAACCAATTTTCCATCCAACGCTCCTAAATTTAATTAAAATATTAAATTGTTTTTATATTTCTCACAAACCAATACACAAAGGCATGTTCCATCTTTTTTCAAACCCATTAGCAATATTTTTCCATTCTTCATTTGATGAAGGTAATTTCACATATTTTTCGTGTAATGACCAGATAGCCTTCGAAACACGTTTGACAATTAAAGATATTGTTGATCTGCTTCTACGAAATGAATATTCAAGTGCACGATATTGCATTCCGGTTGCGAAAAAACGTAAACAAATGATTAGCTGTTCTTCGGGTGAAACTCCTCTTTTACTCTTCAACTCAATTCTAAAAAAATAATACTTAATTTAAAAATTGATAAGAAACAACTTTGATTTAATTTGTGCTAAAAGAAGATCAAATTCACGACAGGACATTCTCGTATAACAATAAAATTTTTCTTCATCTTTACGTAATTGCTGAAACAAAACTACAAATTCACCTTCAGTTGGTTGTTTGGAAAGTAACGGGTGAACCCATAAGCGTTTCTTCTTTCTCTTCCTCATTCTTCTTAATCTTATCAATTTTAAAAGTAAATCTAATTTTTTCAATATTCCTGGAAGCATTTACTGAAAATATTATATAAATTTAATATTAATTCAATAAAAAATAATCTATCGTAAAATAAACGCAATAAAATATATAAATTAATTTGTTTGAAATTTTATTCAAATATTAAAATATTTTTAAATAATTAAAAGTTTTGAAAAAGATTTTCCGTTTCTTCGAAAACTAAATTTTTTCTTGATTTTAACTCCATTAACAAATTCATAATTCTGGTTTTTGCTTCATTTTGTAATGGTGTTGAAAGATTTTTAATTTCTGATCCAACATACAAACCAAATTGCTTATTTGGCGAAGAATCGTTTAAATTTTCTTTAATTTGCTTAGCCAATTCAACAATACAATTATCAACAGCGTCATCCTTGTCTGTATCAGAAAGCCGTCGACGTTTTGAAGGCAATTTTTGAGTAAAAATTTTTTCATTTTCATCATCACTTGAACTCATTGAAATAGTACAATTTAATAAATCTTTAACATCGTTTGGAATAGACATTGTTTGAATTGAATCAATCCGACTATAAATTTATAAATATAATATAAAATAAAATATAACCTTGAACAATTTTCTTTTTCTTCTTCCAAAAAAGACATTGAATTTAAATAAGGCCATTTAACATCTTTACCATCAGAACCAGAAGCTTTTGGTTTCTTTAATTTGGAGTAATAATCACAAAGATGTTTCCATTTCTGTTTGGCAGATTTAACATCTGTAAAATTTAGCAAAAATTTAAAAATAAAATAAAAATAAAACCATCAAATCCACTTTGTTCAGCAATCGATAACCAAATTTTATCATTTTTGTTTTTGTCTTTATGCTCGCTGTGCCCTTTACGCCAAATTATTTCATTCTGTTGTATCATCTCAATAAATAAATTCATATCAATTTTGGTTGACATTTAAAAAAATATTTTTTTATCTAAAAAGAAGAAAAAATTATTTAGATAAATTATTTTAGAGTTAAAATACAATTTTTAAAAATTACTACCCTTCAAAAGGGTCCCCCCTTTTCAATTTTACAAAAAAATTAACAAAAAGTATACCTTTTTCAAAAAAAAAATTTGTGATAAAATTTCAAACTTAAAAATAAAAACTTATATCAATCGATAGATAAAAGTTTAAATTTCAATAATCTTTTTAAATTTTTAAAATTGGTCCAATATTGATCGAGAAATTAATTTTTCAATTTTATCAAAAATTTTCCGCAAAAAAATATCAAACAGTTTTGATATTAAAATTCTTCCGCCGGCGGAAAAAACGCAGTGGAAAACGCAATTTATGTAGACACTCAAACTGCCGAAAAAACGCTAGCGTTTTTTCCGCCGGCGGAAAACGCAATTTATGTAAACACTCAAACTGCGGAAAAAACGCTAGCGTTTTTTCGGCAGCGGAAAACGCAGCATATGTAGACACTCTCAATTTGCCGAAAAAACGCCGGCGTTTTTTCTCTCTCACTTTTCCATACTATTTTCTGCGGAAAACGCGCGCGTTTTTTTATGTAGACGTAGCATAACCTTGAAAAAAGAGAGAAAAACAGAAAAACAAAAATTCCGACATTTTGCCAATACCACATTTTGCCAATAAGGGTAAAAACTACAGTTTTGTCAACAAGCTCTGTTGTCAAAATGAGAATTTTTAGCCTTATTGGCAAAATGTGGTATTGGCAGAATATGGGGGGAAGAATTATTTTCTTTAAACAAATATACGACATTCTGCCAACTCCACATTTCGCCAATAAGGGTAAAAATTACCATTTTGTCAACAAGGCTGTGTTGACGAAACACAGATTTTTAGCCATATTGGCAAAATGTGGTATTGGCAAAATATGGTGAGTGAAGAATTATTATCTTTAAACAAATAAATATTCTGCCAACTCCACATTTTGCCAATAAAGGCAAAAACAACCATTTTGTCAACAAGGCTGTGTTGACGAAACACAAATTTTTAGCCTTATTGGCAAAATGTGGATTTGGCAAAATATGAGGAAGGATATATAAAATATGAGGTAGACTTATTGGCAAAACGTGGTTTCGGCAAAAATGAAAAAAGGAATTATTTTTAATAAAATTGTTGAGCGACAAATGGACAGAGGAATTATTGGTCAGCTGAGTTTTTGGGTATATTTTGGGCTTTAACTTTTT